ATTCCTGCTCCCTCCTTCCCGGAAGGTAGTGAGGGATACTGGCTCTGAGTATATAGATACGACGGGGACCCAACTCTGACTGCGGTGGAAGCATAAGTTACTAAGCCCCCGTGCAGGGTAATTTGTCAATGGCTATCAAATATACAAATGCATTGACTCTTTGACTCAGCAATCTGCTTCAGGGAATTCGTGCATGTGTGAATTACATATGTATGAGATTATTGACCCTTGCTTCATTTACGATAGCAAAAAAAAAAGCAATCTAAATGATATCAGAGTGGGTCTAGCTAAATCAATTATATTAGACAAGGAGTGGCCATGTATCTAAAAAAAAAAAAAAGATGAGGAAGCTTTTTGCTATGGTTTGAATGTTGGTATCTCACCCAAATTCATATGTTTAAACCTAATACTCAATGTGATGGTATTAAGAGGTGGGATTTTAGGAGGTGATTGGTTCATAATGGCTCTGCCCTCTTGAATGGGATTAGAGCCTTTATAGTGAGGCTGTTTGCCCCTCTGCTATGTGAGGATGCAGCTATGAAGAGCAGGCCCATGCCAGACATTGATTCTGCTGGAGCCTTGATCTTGGGCTTCTTAGCCTCAAGCACTGGGGGTCCAGCAGGTGGCATGGGGTTAAGGTATTGGACTTCTACATGGCTGACTGCGGTTCAAGTCCTGGACCTATTGGCTTGGAAACCACACCGGGTGTGTGTGTGTGCATGCTCAAAATCCGAAGAAGAGAATGGAGAAGAAATTGCCTCCTGAGTGACTTCTCACTTTCCCTCTCTCTGCCTCTCTTACCCTATGGCAAAATCTTCAAAAAAAATTGTGAGAAATAAATCTCTGTTGGTTATAAATGTACTCAGTCTAAGGTATTTTGTTACAGTAGTTTGAAGTTTGAAATGGACTGACACTTTCCTCCCACTGATATGGAGAAGCATGTAAGATAGGTTGCTAAGTTTAAAAAAAAAATCAAGGTGCAAAAAGGAGCAGGGAAGAACATGTATTTTGCTGTAGTGGCTGTTGATGATGTTACTGAATATGTATTTCAAATTCTAGACAAATACAAACCAAAGGTTGAAGGACTTGAAGCATGGCAGGTGTGTGACAAGGATGGGAGGGGAACTTTTCACTGTGTCATTTTCGTACTTTCTCACTTCAAACTATATGACTGTTTTGCCTCTTCAAATCTTTTTGAAAAATAAAATTATATTTTGGGCCAGCCCTGTAGCATGGTGGTTAAGGGAGCCAGATCCCACAAAGCTGACTGCAGTTCAGATCCTGGCCCCAGAGGCTTAAAACTGCACCGCATGTGCATGCATGCCCCAAATCCCAACAGGATAGTGAAATGGAAGAGAAAGAATTGCAGCATGACTACACCGTGAAGGGGTGTGCTTGCTCTTCCTCTCCCTCTCTCCCTCTCTCTCTCCCCTTCTCTGTCTCCCTCTGTCCCTTTCTGGAAGTGTACACACCCTCTGGTAATAAAAATATGTTTTGCTTTCAGACAAGGACTAGAATATAATATATACAAGCAAAAATAATATAGTTATGATGAAGTTGAATTTTTAAAATAATGCCAAAAGAAAACTACTCTCTTTTGATTAATTCATCTCAATTAAACAGTGAGAATTATCCTCTAGGATTTTCCCTTTTCCTCTTTACTTCCAGGAAACTTAGAATTTAGTTGTTCATTGTTAAAACTACATCAGCCTCCTCGTTTGAGGATTTTTTATTTTCCTTTTTTTTTTTCTTTTTTCTTTTGCTGTATGGCATGGATGCTCACCAGAGAGAGAGAAAGAGAGAGAGGAAGTGAGAAAACGAGCTGCCAGGGCCGGGACTCAAACCACAGCCAGCCATGTTGGCATTTTCTTCTTTCTGTAATGATTTTTTGTTGTTGTTGTTCTCTGTTTGGATGCAGGTATTATATATTTACTGTTACTAGGGCTACTCAAGTCTTTTTTTTTTTTCTTTTTTTGGAGAGGTTTTTGCTATAGGGTGCATGCACTCGCCAGAAAGACAGACAGAAAGCAAGAAATTCATTCCCCTCTCAGGATCTTGGACACACACGCACACACACCCGGCGTAACTTTAAGCCACTGGGTCCGGGACTCAAACCGCAGTCGACTACATGGGAGTCCAGCAACATAGCCATTACGCCAACTGCTGGTCCCAGGGCTACTCAAGTCTTTAGAGAATCACGAGGGTCCCAGTTTAAGTCATCCCAGAAGATAGCAGATTTACCGGGATCAGCACAGCAATTTGTTCACTGGGAGGAATTAATCAACTGCTATTTGGTATGAAAAAATATCTTTCAAATTATGATCATGATGTTTCCAGTTTAACTATTTGGCAGTGGATAAAACCCAGAATCTACATGTTCTCATTCGTACCTATTTCAGCAAACGTTTTATGGAAAAGGTCTGATGGGTAGTTCCATGCATATAAAGTTATATGTTGCCATACAGGGTTATAGTTATATACCCGAACATGTATATGCATTTGGGGTTTATTTTATTGTTGTTTTGCCTTTTTTTTTTTTTTAAGATTTTTTGAATAGGGCACATGTGCTCACCAGAGACAGAGAGGGAAAGTGAGAAATCAACACCCCCACCCCCACCCCGGGAGAATGGCCATGCCGCAATCCTTTCTCCGTTTTTCTCTTGAGATTTTGGATACATGCCTGGCATGATTTTCAGCTATTGGGTCCAGGACTTGAACTGTACAGTTGGCTATGTGGGATCCAGCACCTTAGCCACCATGGCACCTGCTAGCTGCCATGTATATGTGTTGTACAGGTACTTGTTCTCAGGCATAATTTTGTTAGGCACAAATTAGTTGCCCTAACATACACTTTAGACTCTAAAGTCTTTAGATACCCATTTCAGTTATGATCCTGTATATGCCATATGTTTGTGTGTACATATGCTTATATTATAGTTAAGTACTGTATTATATAAACTTAGATATGAGATACAGTTATATTTTTAAAACGTGTGTGTGTATAAAATTGGGGAGAAATACTTTAAAAAAAAAACAAAGAGCTTAGATCCTTGAGGAATCAAACCACTCCTGTGGCTATTAGAGCCTGTGAAGCAATGGGTCTGGTTTCCTGGACATGGCTCTCCCACCCCACACACACACCACACAGTGGGGGAGGGGGCGCCCAGACCATCGGCAGAGGTGACCTCATTATGTTGGCTGTGGGCCCATAAGAACAGCAAGTCACTTAGGATATCGGGCAGTGAGGCTTTACTGTGGCACATCAAGGGAGTGGAATCTTCCTGAAACTCAGGAGCACACCTGAGATTGTGGAGACTGGAACAGGAAGGTCTCAGAATTTAAGGAGGCTCCCCAGTCCCAGCTGCAGGAGGCCCTGGAGCTTCCCCCTACTGCTCTGCCTCGCCCTTAACCTGGCCCTCGCAGGCGCAGTGTCCCTCTGTGGCTGCCCCATCCCTCTCTGCTTTGAAACCTTGATCTTTCCTTCAACTCAGTTCCATTGCCCCTGGTTCCTTGGAACTGTTTACTCCTGTCCCACATGGCCGCTCCGTTTCTCAGGACCTTCCACCTTCTCTGTCCACATTTCCCAGTTCAGATCCCAGGGGCAGTGGGTGCCTGTGATTGGCCCATCTCATTGGAAAGAGTTTCCTGTGCCAAACCAGCCCTACACGGGAGCCTGCTTTGGGATGACCTTGGGTTGCTGGGGAAGGCAGAAAGTTTGACGTAAGCAGGGAAGGGAGGATCTAAAGGTCTGGGGCAGACCCCATGGAAAACACCCCAAACTGGTCTTTTGCATTTGGACAGTTGGGAAGACCCTATTATTCAAGGTAGGAGGCAGCACAGAGGAGCTTGTATAACTTGGAGTATGCTTAGTGCTGAGCCCAGTTGTCTCCAAGCAACCTTTAACACGTTAACATATCATTTGCATTGGTTTATGGGAAACTGTATAAAAGAGGCCCAGTTGAGCAAGTGCTGAAATGAAAGGGGAGGAGCCAAGATATAAAAGCGCACAACACAGACCCCTCCATGCTGGAATCCACCCCTGGCACCATCCCGCTCCTACCTCTCTGGAGTGTACTTTCACCTTCATTTTCTCTTGCTTGATACTTTTGTTTTTCCCTGCTATGAAACTTTGTTGTTCCACTATACAACTGTCTCTTGGCTGAACTCAGGAAAAGCCCAATACTCTAGAGCAGCGGCCCCTCACACAAGAAACGCCTGGGGTCATTTTTCTCCAAGGGCACTGGACTGTGCTATGACCACCTGATCTACCTCACCAAAGGTGGTCCCAAAGGTGGCAGAGAATAACGGCCAGTCCCACACTTCTGAGTCCCAGGAGTCAATACAAAGCAGCAGAATTGAATGAGACACACATTCAAAAGTTAGCCAAGGGACCACCAGTTAGCGTAACGGGTATGTCGTTGAACTCCCACATAGTTGACCACAGTTCAAGTCTGGACCTGGTGGCTTAAACTCACACCGGGCATGTGTGCGTGCCCAAAATCCCGAGAGGAGAATGGAGGAGAAGGGATTGTGGTGTGGTCATCCCCCCTGGTGGGGGTGATTTCTCGCTTTCTGTCTCTCTGTCTCTGTCTTTCTGGCGAGCGCACGCACAGTATAGCAAAAACATCTCCCCCCCCAAAAAAAAAAGTCAGCCCAGACAGGTTCCAATGCTGACCGAGGAACAG